ACTTTTAATTAAAAAATTAATTGTGAAAAGACTGTTGACAGTCGCGTAGTTAAATTTTCAGGACTTATAGGCTAATATATTTATTTTTATAAACAAATAAAAAAACTTTTTTAATTTTTTTTTATTCTTTTTTTGATCTCTGAAATATACAATAAAAATTTTTAGTGTATATATTTTTTTTTTTATTAGTTATAAAGTTATCAAAAATTTTAATTGTATATTTCAATGAAAAAAAAAATAAAAAAAGTTTGTTTTATTTGTTTATAAAAATACATATAGTCCTAAAAATTTCACTAAGCGACTGTCGGAACAGTTTTTTCACAATTAATTTTTTCAATTAAAAGTGAGAAAAATCTTTTTTATAAAAAACTCTGTTAAAATAAAAATTAAAAAAAATATATTTTAAGGAAATATTGTTACTAATTACTACTAACGATTGATGTATTAAAATTTAAATTCTATTACCAAGTGAAAAATGGAGGGTCCACTTGACGTGATCTGGCTAAAAATTTAATTATCTATCTGATTTAAGATAGTGTTCATTTTATATTTGCTTGTAACTATTGCATTTATACCAATTTTTTAATCCAATTTTATAATAAATTATATTTTTACTTTCTTAATCACATGTAAAAAAAAGTATTAAAAAACTTTTTTACTTGTTTATAAAAATAAATATATATTAAATACCTCACGGTGTGCCTGAATAACTTTTAATTGAAAGGTTCAGACGTATACAAGACAATTTTTTTCAGGATAAACTCAATTCGCTTGGCACTTTTTTAGAAAAATCAATTTTTATAAAAACATTAATGATTTTTAATCAATTTTTTGAGAATTTTAATTAGTGAACTCCAAATAATGACCAACAGCTTTTAATGTATTTGTTACATAAAATGTGCAATTCATTAGGCTAGTGAACTATTGACATATGTCACTTGTCACATGTCACATGTCGAAATCGTGATTGAAAATACCGTTGCGTTATTTTACCGTTTTTTTTTCAATTTGTCGCAGATTTATTTATAAATTAGATATAAATAATTATATTTGCATTGATTATAGTAAGTATATAGTGCAATAAGGCTAATAAAAAAACCATGCATGGACTCACTCGGATAATCGCGAGAGAATTTGTTTGTTTTGTCTTAAAAAAAAAAAGAAAAAATGTCTAATGTGGAAAGATTCTGGAAAAAGTTCAAAGCATGGCTTTAAGCCTGAAACATCAGCAGCAGTTACTATCGCACTTTTAAAAAAAGAAAAAAGAAAGAGCGATAGTAACTGCTGCTGATGTTTGGGACTTAAAGTTTCACTAATATCGTTTTCAATATTTTCTTCTTTTACTCCAGGTTACTTGATAAACATTTGAAACATTTTATTAGTTTATTTTTAGTACTTTTTATAAAATTATTTCCAATTAGAAAAATCAGGCAAATTTAACGTGTTTCTATAAATTTCTTGTTTAGCTGCTTTATATAATAAAATTTCACAACCTTTGCATACAACTTTTGGTAATCGTTCATCTTCTACATCATATACTTATACAACTTTTTCTAGAATCTTTCCCCATATTTTAAACATATTTCTTTTTTTTTAAGACAAAACAAACAAATTCTCTCGATTATCCGAGTAAGTCCATGCATGGTTTTTTTATTAGCCTTATTGCACTATATACTATAATTAATGCAAATATAATTATTTATATCTAATTTATAAATAAATCTGCGACAAATTGAAAAAAAAAAAACGGTAAAATAACGCAACGGTATTTTCAATCACGATTTCGACATGTGACATGTGATAAGTGACATATGTCAATAGTTCACTAGTCTAATGAATTGCACATTTTATGTAATAAATACATTAAAAGCTGTTAGTCATTATTTGGAGTTTACTTTTTTAATTAAAAATATTTAAAAATTGATTAAAAATCATTAATTTTTTTATAAAAATTTATTTTTCTAAAAAAGTGCCAAGCGAATTGAGTTTATCCTGAAAAAAAATGTCTTGTAGGTAATTTTTTATCAAAATATGAAAAAAATCGGATACGTCTGAACCTTTCAATTAAAAGTTATTCAGGGACACCGTGACCTACCCATAAGTCCTGAAAATTTAATTACGAAACTTTTAACAGTTTTTTCAAAATTATTTTTTTAAGTGAGAAAAATCTTGGTTATAAAAAACTTTGTTAAAATTAAAATTAAAATTAAAAAATTTATATTTTAAGGAAATATTGTTACTAATTACTACTAACGATTGATGTATTAAAATTTAAATTATATTACCAAGTGGACAATGGGGGGTCCACTTGATGTGATTTGGCTCAAAATTATAATTATCTAATGGCCGGTTTATTAATGTCCAGTTAAAGTTACAGTTAGTTATCTGGTAGATAATTTCCATGGATACCATTGTTCTCACAACGATCGATATGAAATTTAACCGTCAGATAGACTAACTGGAACTTAAGTAGAGATTGATAAACCTAACTGAATTAAGATAGTTGTTCATTTTATATTTGCTTGTAACTATTGCACTCATACCAATTTTTAATCCAAGTTTTTAAAAAAATTATATTTTTACTTTCTTAATCACATGTACAGTTATAACTATTGTTGGCCTTATTAAGAAAACTATACCTTACTACTAACGATTGATTTTGTATGCATTAAAAATGATCAGCAAGCACCGGATTTTAGGCAAAATGCAAAGGCATTTGTTTGTGACCTTGATAATAATCCTAAACTTAAAAAAATAAAGCGTTTGATACCCCTTTGTTTTTGCCTAAAAGCCTAAAATGGCGAAATTTTGATTTAGGGTCCTAAAAGGAAATTTTTATGAGCCTTAAATAGGCTCTTTTAATTTTTCAGAAAAAATATATTTTTCAATGCGAAAAATTAAATTATTTTTAATTAGGCCCTGCTTTCTTGCTCTTATTTCGCCTAGACGGCCTTGGCGAGTACGAGGACCACAAATTACAAAACTAGTGAAAATCTAATGAAAAACGTAATTGTGTTTTTGTTATATCTAAATATTTATTATAAATAATTATGGATAATATTAAGTTTGTAAAATAATGGTTAAACATTATTATTTACTTTGTTTTCATAGGTTTTATTGTAATTTCCATATATATATTATGTTGTGTTAACCTGTTCTGTTTGTTTATTATTGTTTTTGTGTTGGGTTAATTTGTTTTGTTTGTGTTTTAGTTTGTGTCGTGCCATTTACATTTAATAAAATGCGGTGTGGCATATTTTTTTGAGTTTTGGTTCGTGCCGCGCATAACGTCACTTGATGAGTAGTTGCCGTGCGAATACACGAATAATAGTAATATTATCAAAGAAAATAGAGAAATATCTGGACATATTGCGTTTTTATTAAACTAAATATTAAAGAAAGTGTTATAATATGGATAATAGAGTGTAGTTTAAGAGTTGGTGTTTTAAATTAAACTTATAGTCACTGTCCAGAAAATGTATAGAGGAAACAGAAGCGGTCTTAACGTTAATGTTGTCTATTCTTTTTATGGCATTTAACCACTGTTTACAAAAATCAAAGTTTTTCGGGAATCGATGAAATTTGTTTTTATTTAAAGGGTTTTTTTTGGACTGGTTGTCCAAATTCCATACAAATATGCCACACCGCATTTTAATAAATGCAAATGGCACGACACAAACTAAAAAACAAACAAAACAAGTTTCAACGCAACACAAAAACAATAATAAACAAACAGAACAGGTTAACACAAAGAATTAAATTATCCAAATTTTTTTTTATTAATGTTGAAAAGTATAACATCGAAAAAAAAATGATATTTTTACATTTAGCGGGTAAAGGGTAAAAGAAAAAGTTAATTAGCAATTTTGAAGATCTTTTATTGCTCTACAAATTTGTTTTGAAATACTGAAAATAATTTTTAAGGTTTAAAATTATTTTCAGTATATCAAAACTTTTTTGAAGCGAAGTTTGAAATTTTATTTGCATGCAGTTAAAAGCTGGATCATGAAATTAAGAATATCATAAGAGTTAAGCTATTTTAGCTTAAATTCAGCGATTAATTGAATGTGTTGAAGAATATATATATAATATTATTCATAATCATGAAAATATGATTTTAGACACTTTTGAACTGTAGGTGATAAAAGAAATTGTTTAAAACGAATTTGTATAACATTAAAAGATCTTCAAAATTGCTAATTGACTTTTTTTTATACGATTAGTAGTTTAGCCGCTAAATGTAAAAATTTAATGCTAAAAAGGACCAGTGATTTTTTATCAAAAAAAAGTTGTACATAGTATGCAGGCGAAATAAATCTTAAAAAACTAATTTTCCATGTTAAATCAATGGGAAAACTTTAAATTCGATGGACCTTTTAAAATTAATATTAAGAGCTCAAATTTTGACACATTTTTTTTTAGCATAAGTGACGAGAATTTCACATGAATTTGAAAAAAGAAAAATATTGCCTTATTTTGAAACACCCTAATGTACATATATGTAAATGTACCTTTTAAAATTAAAATTATGGTAAAGGTTCCATGTACTATCATAATGGTCCACTCCCAAAAGTACCACCACGTGATTTTGTTACAAATAATTAAGGTTTTCTTTTTGTCAGTGTCAAGCTAATTTTGTCTTATTTTTTGAAAATAATGCAATAGTATAATATACATATTATGTATTTTTTGTGTATAAAAGTCTTAATTTAAAACCCAAAAAAATACATAAACCTATTTTATTATTTTCAGAAAATACGACGAAATTAGCTGGAAACGTACCAAAAGATAATCTCCCTTATTTGTATTAAAGTCACGTTGTGGGAGTTTTGGGTGTGGACCATAGTACAATATTTAACAATAAAGGACAAAATAACCTTTTGACTTGGCAGGGCAGTGTACTTTTTACTCCTTGTCTAATGTTTATCCCCACCCATAGAAAAAGAATACCATAGAATAATTAATTAATGAAGTATCCTATACTTTTATTAAGGTTGGTACAAAAACATTTCTGTCAATTGTCAAAAATGTTTTTTAATAAATTTTTGAAACCAATTCGTTGCAATGGCCAAATCATTAGAAGCATGGCAAAACTTTACAAGCAAGGAGAAAAAAGACCATGGTCTCCTCATACACCGAAAGGAGGAATGGAATTTGCTTTTGCAAGGTTAGATGACCTTCTTAATTGGGGTAGAAGTCGCTCCCTATGGCCTATGACATTTGGATTGGCTTGTTGTGCTGTCGAAATGATGCATATGGCTGGACCAAGATATGATATGGACAGGTAATGTTTAAAATTATTTCTATATTGTAATATAGCCACAGACCCAAAGACAAGGGATGGGTTGGGTGGGCGGCGTTAGATAGGCAACTTAGTATTAAAGTTTTGTTCCCTGCCCTGCTTTTGTACTTTTGTACACAACAAGAATAAATAAAGTTTTGTTCCCTGACTACTGCGCCATCTGGCGGGTGTAGTCAAAAATATATATTAAAATTATTGTTTAAATTTTTTTACTGGATGGTACTGATCCTTTTTTTACCTCCACTAGATAAATCATTCTAATATTTTTCTAGGAAAGTTCAAAGAGGAATAATAAAACTATATTTTTGTAATTATTTTATTTGTCAAAAATATATAAAATAATATATAAATATATAAAGGAAAAAATTCAAAACACAACTTAAAATTATATCTACATCATATGAACTCATCTAACTATTTCATTCCTATTCCTATAATATTATTGTATAAGGTAAAATTAATTTATAAATAAAAGAACAATAAAATTTTTATTACTTGGTGCTTAGAGAATCAACATATTTTTTTGTTATTTGGGCAAAAAGCGGGACATACCTTCATAGATGACCTTATCGTTTTTTGGAAATCGATGCATTTTTACACTCCCCTGATTTTGCACTTTTGTACACAACAAGAATAAACCATAATAATGAATACACAATACAAACTTAAAAGGTTATAAAATTTAATACTTCACAAATTTAAGTTATTCTTTCAAGTCGAATTATTATGACAACTGTCATTATGACAACGGTAGTCTCGGTGACAAAAACAATTTTGGCGACATTAGCGCCTCTGGCAAGCGTAGTCAAAACTTCTCAGCGGACAAGTTTTTGTACAGTAAAGATGCACAACCATGCACAGACCTACAAACAAATGGACCGGTTTATTTACATTAAAAAGAGTGGAAAGGAACAAAAATAAATATTTTCCCTCAGTTGTCACATCTGACTTTATTTGCTTTGAAGTATCTATATTTTACGTGAAAGATACTTGGAATCCACAACTTATTTAATATTTTTTATTTGATTTTATAGTGAAAAATACCAATAGTGAGTGATATAAAAATGGTGAAGCAGTGCTACGTTTGTAAAAGACTTGGATCCAAGAATTTAAAACTTTCTTTTCATAGGTCTGTGAATATAGCAAATAATTATAATACACTTTGTAAAAATATAAGGTTACATACCTTTATGTTTCTATATGATTTCTGTAAATTATTTTACTTTCAGTACAACTGTAAACATTTTTTCTTTTAATTAAAAATAGTTTATTGAAGCAATTATTGTCATATAAAATGCAACTAATATGTACCATATAAAAAATACTATATACTTGTTTTTATTTCACAAGCAACTTTAATTAATAATTTTATCAGTAATGATTAAACTAAGCCATTATTAATTTTAATGCCTGAAATACTCGCAATGGCTATCGAAACAATCTAGATCCTTATTAGATTACCAAAACGATTTGCATAAATGCAAAAATATTAAAAGACATGGATTTTATTAAACATGAAACTTGCTAACCAAGTATGTGGTCTTTAATCCCACTTAATTTTTATTTTATAATGCTTGTAACGATAAAACTATGGCGTAAATTGCCCATTTCATTACAAGAGATATGGTTTTATTATGTAGTTGTACACCTTAACCAACTAATTTAAATCTGTGTGGGAGATTACAAAAGGTGTTTTTCTAGAATTTCAGCATGATACGAAAGTACAGGAAAATTTTTAACAACGAAAATCATTATTTATTTGGACATCTTTAAAATATTCTCCATTAGAACAGCAATTCTTACAATCTTTAGGATACTTTTTATGGATTAAGGTTAGTATGTCTCTTCGCATTTTATTTTACAACCTTAAAAGAGGAAAATGCATGGTGCCATATCTGAAGAGTACAGTGAGTGTTGGTCAAATATTTGTCCAAATAAGTGTGCTGATTTTTCAGATAATTGATCTGTTGTGACAAATCCAGCAGAAACGCGTTTTACGAGCAAAACCTCATTTATTATGCCATGTACTGTTGATTTTGGATATCTTTTCTACGCTCATACAATAATTGTCCATCATAATTTTCTTTACTTCTTCGATAGGATTTTTATCAGATAAAGTGGATGACCGACCAGAACGCAGCATTTATTTAACCACTCTGTGACTTTAAAATTTGAATACCATTATTATATTTATATAAATATTATACCATAAGCTTAACTTAAATGAAACTTACAAAGTATTTAAAAGATCCTAATAATTTGTTTACCAGAGTTTTTTTGCTTGAACTTTGTCTGCTCTCGAGAGTATTGAAACTATTGGAAAAGTTTTTAATGAAACAGCTCAATTTCATTAAAAAATTCTAGTATTCTTAACATTTAGACCAAAACGTAAAGGGAGGGCGCCAAAAGGGAAATCTCCATTTGTTTTTTGGAGAATAACTAACGACATTTATTTATATTATAAAATTTAGAAATTAAACAAAAAGCTATCTTTTTTCAAAATTTTACAGTTACAGAATTTTCATAAATGTAAAATTTTCAAAACAGCTGTTGTATAAAATTTATTTAGGGTAAAATGGTTTAATATTTCGACATATTATGCCTTAGTACGTTAAAATAATTAAATGTAAATTGAATGAAAAGAAGGGGGTCAACCCTGCTCCTGTCATGTTTTATTTTTGCCCTCAATCTCTTTACACACCTGATTGGTGCCCAGATAAAGATGGTCAAAAAAAACTTTTGAAATTGTGACTAGCCTCTTCTACACCACCAGGATTTCGCGGCAGACACACTTTCCCAAGAGCGGGCACACCTACACTTTGCTCTCATATTCTGAAAAAGGATAAAATTTGTCTATAGTATTGTCTATTGTTCGACTATATTCAGCACACCTTACTTAAGAGCAGAATATAAGTCGCTATAAGAAAGGTTGTAGTAGTCTGTTTAAATTAATTAATGCATATCTTTGAAAAATCTATGAATTTTTTTTCTTGTCTGCACTTATGCTTGTAGAGGTGACCACCTCTACAAGCATAAGTGCAGACAAGAAAAAAAATTCATAGATATATATATATATATTTTTTTTTAACATTTATTGCAATTTGCAGTTTTGCAATATTAAACGATAATATTGACTGACTGTGTTCAACCAAAATTATTAATCTGTCATTCTCGTCTAGAAGATCCGGCAACACTGGATTACATCTAGGGTGGTTTGATTTATTTAGTGAATACATTACATTTTATCGTCGGTTTTTTGCTGTAAGTTTATTATTGATTTATGTATTTAGTTTTTATTACATAAATTATCCAAATTGGCTTTAATTATTACTTTACTTAAGTAAATTATTGAAAAAAATACAATGATTGTCTTATTGTCTTAGGTATTTATCAAAATTTATATATACTTATATATTTATATATAAGTTGGGCAACTTTGGACATCATTTTGTTTATATAGTTTTCGGAATATCTGTGTTTTCTAAATTTGAATGCAAGGGAAGTAAGAGTATACCAGGGTACTAATTAAATACATAATATATTGGAAAATATAAGATGTATTGCAACTTTGAGCATATTATACATTAAATATTTTAAAATCAAATAATACCACACATCAGTGGCGGCTGGTGGATTTTGGGTATACCGATATCTCAATTATTAGATATGGGACCCACACCAAATTTATATGAGTATGCGCAAGCAGAATTTAAATTGAAGTTTGCGAAAAAAATATAACCGAAACATCGAACATGGAACTGACGACACGGTACTGATGAATGGGATACAAATTTGAGATTATAATTCGGAATTAAGTATTTTACTGATATTTTTTATTAGTGGACGCTACTTATCAACAAATCACATATAGCTAGAGTTGGGTCAGTCAATTGACTGTCAATTGACCGCTACCTATTTGACCAGTCAATTGACCGGTCAAAATATATTTCATTTTTGCAGCATCTCAAAATTCTTGCGATCGTGCAATATCGACATCATTTACAATTTGGTGGTTCCCCGAGTCGAGGGGTTGCTAGGCCGGACTGGCCGCACAAACGTTTCTAAAGATGGACATAACTTTTATAATAAAAAAAATTTGGTAACGTATTTTCATTACCTATTTATTATGTACAAATAAATCACAGTAATATTTATTTTTATATTTTATTTAATTTTATTTTGGTCAATTGACCGGTCAATTGACCAAAAACAGTTTGACCGGTCAATTCCACAACCCTACATATAGCCTTATATAAATTACAATGAAATATATATACGTAATAAAATAACTACTCACCACAGTACTGAAATTTTGACTGGAACTATACGTGAATTTACCACAATTTCGCCGCTTAATTCAAATTAATTAAAATGACAAATTAAATTATGTTTTTGCCAGTTGGTAAGCAACTCCCGTTAACCTTTTTTCGCAATGCATTGCCCGAACCTTCTTAAACTATAAAAATATCAATTTTTACTTAAAGTTTGTTTTCTGTATCATGTATTCTTTTTTTAGATTTGGCGTAGTCTTCAGAGCATCCCCGAGACAAACAGACGTGGTTATTGTAGCAGGTACGGTGACCAATAAAATGGCTACAGCTGTAAGAAAAGTCTACGATCAAATGCCAGAACCTAAATGGGTTATTTCCATGGGTAGTTGTGCAAATGGTGGCGGATACTACCATTACTCCTACAGTGTTGTCAAAGGATGCGACAGAATAATTCCTGTCGATATTTACGTTCCTGGTTGTCCGCCGACAGCCGAGGCCTTGCTGTATGGTGTGCTGATGCTGCAAAGAAAAGTAAAGAGACAAAATGCCTTACAAAATTGGTATAGACGATAAAAATGTATCGTTGTTTATTTTGGATAAACAATTAATAAGCTACATTGTAAACTGTACATTTATATTTGAACTTTAACCTTATTGTTTTACTTATGTTAAAACTTTTTTACAGCTTTTGCAGAGTATTAAACTACAAAGTGGGGATAAAAAGTGTATTATTTGTTTTATTAACAAACTTACACAGTTTATTTCCAAACTAGATGGATATAATTTTTTTTAAATACGTTATGAATGATTATTGCTCATTAAATTTAAAATTATTAAATGTGATCACTGAAAAATTAAGTGGGCAAAAAATAATTAAAAGAATTTAAAAAACACTCATTAAATATTTTTTGTAACTCATAAAACGCTATTGTCTAGAGTCTAGACACAATCCATTTAAAACCAACCTGGTTTTAAAAATTTACGACATCTCGAATAATTAGTAGGTATTTTATATTCAATTTTCTTTTCGTTTTTTTAATATGTCTTTGGGTTTTTCAGGCAAACGAATGCTTTAATTTGCAAAATGAAACCGTTTTTATGGCCCTAAATGAAAAATCCGCGGTGCCTTAAGATAGCAGCCACTTCTTATCGGATGAAGGTCCTTTATAAAAAACTAATTTCTTAAAAAACGTATTTCATTGGGGAATTTTATAAATAAATAGAATCAGTATAATTTTTTAATATTAAAATGTTTCAATAGATTATTATTTTATAAAACGTAAATTATATCTTTTGCTATAAAATAAAATCAAATAAAAAAATTTATTTAGATTAACATAACTACGGGGCCGTTCATAAAATACGTCACGCTAAAATCAGCTTTTTCTGACCCCCTCCCTTCCATTGTCACGCTGTGTCACGCTTTCTGTGACCCCCATAGAAATATTTCGTCACAAAAACTAAGCCCCCCCTGAATATGGTAAATTTCAATTTATAGTACACAAATTTTGAGAATTTAAGTATTTATTTAGTTTTTATAATAAAATTTAAATAAAGTAATTAATATCTTTTATAACGAATAAATAAATAATATTTTTATTAGTCACAAGTCCAAGGATTCTGTAAATGCGCAGAAATATCTATAATCGGTATTGCAGCATCTTCTTCTTCTTCTTCATTTATTTCAAAACTACCCTCCACTTCATCGTCATCTATCCATTCTGCATTTTCCGTGCCATCTTTTTTATGTCGAAAAATAAACAAAAATAAATATATCAAGTTACAATTTATTGTAATAAAATTGTATACGTGTGAAAGTCTATATATTTACTAAATACGAAATAAATGACTTTCTATCATGATGAAAATTTAAAAATAAAAATAGTCAAAAAGAATACTTGTCACACTTTGTCACACTCAGCACTCACACTTGCTAAGTAGTAGTAAATTCGCTTGAGTTGAAAGAAGAAAATTAAAGTAGACTGGTTATTTCTTAGATGATGATTATCATCATTGCTTGTAATAATTGAAAATTAATTTACAATATATTTTACAAATAAGTAGAGACCGGATTCTAGACAGAATACCAATCGTCAATATCCTGTTAAAAATTCTTATTGAAAAATGTGTTTTGGATATTTTTAATGCAATTTAAGCCAACATCAATTTGCCCAATCAAAATGCCTAAACCTTGTCCTAAATTCCTAAATGCTTTCCTAAAATTACATAAAAGTACATAAATGATGCCTAAAATAGTAACCTTTTTAATATTTTTTTTTAATATACATTTTTAAATTAAATTAGAATTTAAAAAGGTACATAGATTTTATCTTTTGAAAATTCCCGCAAAAAATATTAGGTAAGCTAAATTTTGTGTGGACACAACGAAGCGCCGACCACTACTCTGACATCGAAGTATAGTTTCGCTCACCAAAATAAATAAACACACTGTTTTAAACACCATCTATCCACAGAGCGATCAGCGATCCGAAGTGTAAAATTTAGATTTTTTTGTAAGCTGAGCTATAGTGCGATGCTATGATCAGAACGATGGCGTCAACTTTCTTTTTCTATTAAAAAAATATGTTATTGTATAAACGACATAATTTAATTAAATGTTAATAGATGTTGTACACACAAGTGTAAATGATCTGGAAACACTGCCTATTCTAATTTAGGGATTTTTATGTTAAAATTATTAAGTAGTCGCGATTGAATTCAAGATTAACGGTCGATTTTACAAGACAGTTTATATCAATTAAGCTTATCCAAAAAGTGCATGTTAAGTAAAATCACAAGTAACATCCTGGGGCATTGGGCATCTTCACCACATCCAACGTACACAGTCTATTACCATAACACCAAGGAAGGTGCTCTTTTGTTTCTGGGGTTAAGTAAACATTTTATACGACATGCATCGCGTCATGGTTAAACTTTCTGTAACCAGATGTTGTGTTAAAACTATTTAAGTTTTTATGTTTAATAGATCGTTTATTGTTTAATATTAGCCTCTTTCAATTTTTTAGTGCCTAAAAGTTCGGTCAATAAAATTAAAATATTTTGAACAATTTTTGTTTTGTTTAGGCATTTATTTTGCTTTGAGTTCGGATAGCATAGTCATAATCAATGTCTTAGTAAATGTGCAAGGTCGTAGAAAAATTAACCTATAGCCTCTCCCTTAATCAGGTCCAATGTTAATGAGAATTAATGATCATGAAATTAGAGCTCCTGACGCATCATAGCAGGATTCGGTTTTGCGCATTGCCTAATTATTAAGTTAATTTACTTTTAAAAATGATTTACTAACTTAAAAAGCTCGGATGCATTCGATCTGTATACTTTTACCCTAAAATACCCTAAAAATACGGTATGCGACACATTATGGTAGTACCTGGTACAGTGCTGGATTAACCTATAGGCCAACCTAGGCCATGGCCTAGCCCTTACGCTCCATGTGGCTACAATTGTGACTTCTTTATGTACATATATGTTATGGGTTAAAATGATACAGTGGAGCTCCCACTCCTCAATCGTACAATTGTGATATATGTTTACTACGCAGACAAGAGCATGCGCTCACCAATTTCTGCCTTGTTTTTGTTTTGGATGGCAATTTAAGCGTGCTAGTTCTTTACATCATTGCGTCTAATAGTAAGTCATTGTCTTTTTATTACAAAAATGGCTTTATTTAACGTAGAATGCTTAAAGTGTCTTCAGGAAAGGTTAATTCTTTGACTCTTCAAAAAAAAAATTTTATTTTGGTTTTCATATTAAAGCAATTTTGTCGAGAAAACTTGAATATTGCCTTAAAATTTGAATTTGAATTTCTCAGGAGTGTAAGGGCTAGGGTGCCGCGAAGCCAATAGGCGCCCAGGCAGAAGTCTAATTTTTTTAAGTAGGTTAAATGTTAAAATTAAAAATTAAATTATTACTTACAAATGTTAAAAATTAACTGGCTAAAAGCCAGTGGTTGTAGTTTTTTATTTTAAAATTCTAGATTATAATCTATAATAATAATAATTATAATTATTGATGCATGCAAATTTTTTTTTTGCGGGGTCGCAGTGCATTGTCGGCACGCGCTGCGGTATAGTCGACATCCATCAAAGAATAAAAAAATTATTCATATTTCGGATTTTGTTATTGAAATAAAAAAGGGTACTCTCTAAAAATGAATTAATCAAAAATGACTAATTTAATAGTTAGTAGTGGCTGCTTTTTCACTTATACCCAGTGTTGTAACGTATCTAGTTACAAGTAACTAGATAAAGTATCTAGATACTTTTTATGCATCTGTTTGTGTTACTAGTTACTTATCCCAATCTATAGTAACTATAATTGTAACTAGTTACAAATTCTAAGTTACTAGGTGTGTTAAGATACAAAGACACATTTTTAATTAAACTGCTACTCTTATTTATTTAAAAAAATAAATATTATAAAAAGTAAGTTATTTTAAATTAAATATTATAAAAAAAATTAAAATAAGAAACATGAATAATTTTGTTGTCACTTTAAAATTCCCTTTTATTGCTATTTTAAATATTTTAAAGCAAAAAATAATTTGTATGTATCTTAAAGATACTTTTTGAAGGTAACTGTATCTGTAACTAGTTACTGCAATAAAATATGTATCTGTATCTGTATCTGTATCTAGTTACAAATTTTGGTAAGTAACTGTAACTGTAGCTAGATACTGAAAATATTTTAACTGTTACAACACTGCTTTTACCATGGTTAACCAGTTGATTTTTAACATTTGTACTCTCTAAAAATGAATTAGTCAAAAATTACTATTTTAATAGTTATTAGTGGCTTTTTCACTTGTACCATGGTTAACCATGAAATACCATGTTATCCCAAAATTTAACATCAAATTCTTATGTAAATTTGTCCCCTGAATCCGAAAATATCAAAAATTATAAAAGTGAATAAGTTTTTGAGATATGGTCAATTCAATATTAAATGGAAAATTGATTATTAAATAACTGTTCTACTTTTTTAACTTTTTCGACATTTTCGGATTCAGAGGACAATTTTACATAAGAATTGGCTGTTAAATTTAACATAGTTTTTCATGGTTAGCCATGGTAAGAGTGAAAAAGCAACCACTAATAACTATTAAATTAGTCATTTTTGACTAATTCATTTTTAGAGAGTAAGTAATAATTGTTAATAAATCGTGCCCTACTTGCTCCCCTTATCTGTGCGCCCCTGTCGGCTAAAATGTATTGTGTTATATTAAAACCATAGGTACTAACATGGCCTATAATAATTATTATAGGCGCCATTTTATTATTGCCTAGGGCAACAAATTGTTTTAATCCGGCCCTGACCTGGTAGCCTAACCTTGCGACATCTGCCAGTGTGTCTGGAGATTTGCGGAATTTTTATTTTATATTTTTTTACCTGTCGAATTTAATATCCCTACCATGTATCTGTACTCACCTACAAATATAAAAAGTTTGACAGGTAAGGGTGTCACAAATTTGTAAGGAGTATTTTGTTACGTCACGGAGTTAAAAATGATAAGAACCGCTGATCTAGCTGAGGATATAAAAAAACAATGTATAAATTTACAATTCATTTAATATAATAAAAACACATAAAAGACAAAAAAGTAGCAAAGTCTTCTTACCTTTTA